CTAGGCACATGTGGAAGGGTCTAGGCCCTGCTCCAAATGATATGACAAACTTTGAAGATTCCCATAGAAGGCCTCACCCTCCATAGGGAGCAGAAATGGGTTGGGATGGGGGTTGGTGGGGGGCAGGAGAGGAGGGAAGGGAGAGGGAACTGGGATTGACATGTAAAACAAACTTGTTTCTAATTTAAATAAAAAAGGGAAAAATGATGTGGGGACCTGGAATCTTTCTACATTAAAATGGGAAGGTCAAGTGGTGAAGTTGCTGTGAAAACAGCCTTGTATAGTGGTTCTCAACGTTCCTAGTGCTTCGACCCTTTAATACAGTGCCCCACGTTGTGCTGACTCCCAACCATAAAATTATTTTTGTTGCTACTTATTAACTGTAATTTTGCTGCTGTTATGAAATTTAATGTAAACATCTGATATTCAGGGTATCATATATTTGACCACCAAATGGGTTGCAACCCATAGGTTGAGAACCACTGACCTTGCAGTTATTAGAAAAATATAAGCAGGATTATCATATGTATTAGTTATGTCTCTGTTGTGATAAAATATAGCCTGATGAAATCAACTTAAGGAAGAAAGAAGGAAGGGATGGGGAGGGGGAAGGAGAGAGGAGGAAGATGAGAGGAAAGGGGAGGTTATTTCTGTTAACAGTCCCAGGGTATAGTCCTTCGTGGTGGCAGGAGCTTGAGAAGGCTTAACCATTATATCCACATGCAGGAAGTAGAGTTCTGTGCTCGGGTAGCTTCCTTGTTCATACAGTTAAGAATCCAAGCCCAGGGGATTCTATGGCCTTTCTTCAGAGTGGGTCTTCTTACCTCAGTTAAGCCAATCAAGACAGTTCCTCCTAGGCTAATATAATTTAATCAATCCTTGCAGGTGTGCCTGGAGGTTTTTCTCCCATATGGTTCCAGATCCCCTCAGGTTGAGAATTCTAAAGATCACAAGTCAACCCCTTGCCAACTTGACTCACAAGCCCATCTATTATAAACTGTAACCTTCTGCATCTTAGTCCCATAATCTTACCTTACAATGCAAAAATATGACTCATCCAACTTCAAAAGTTTCCATAGTCTTTAACAATGTCAACACTTTTAAAAGTCTGAATTCTCTTCTGAGACTCAAGGAAGTCTTTTAATAGTGGACTCAGAGAGAGAGAGAGAGAGAGAGAGAGAGAGAGAGAGAGAGA